CAGGGCTGTTCTTGGCTGTTGGCACTGAACACCTCGGGGCTGTGCTGGTGCTGAGCCGGCTGCTGAGTGTGTCAGCAATGCACGCTGCGCTGCAGGGGTCTGTTTGGCAGTGAAAGCACTAGGAAGGCTTGATCCTATCGAAATCAAGCCCTTCCTTTCCTTTGGGTAAGGGGAAAATAAAAGGTCAGAGTGCACATCACAGATTTCATAACCTTTGATGTCACAGCATGTGGTTTGGTAGCATGGTGGGTTAAGCCAGCACTGTGTTTTTGTTGAAACGGTGGGATCACAAATTCAGCTCATTGCTACAATGGGTTGTTGGGTCTCTGAACAGCCATGCAGTGCAGCAAGGCAACCTCCTGCTCTGTGCTTCAGTGAGTGGGGCCACGGTGGGGATGAGAAGCAGTGAGCTCATGAGCAAATTTTGAGTCGTGCAAACACAGTCAAGGGTAAAGGTCCCTGCAGTTCAGCTCCAGCTTTGCAGGAGAAACTACTCATGACTCCTTCATTTCTCCTCTTATAGAGATTATAAACCCTTTGGGACTTGCCCAGGTGAGAACATTGAAGCTCAACATCCCCATCCCTGGAACTGTCCAAGGCCAGGTTGGACTGGGCTTGGAGCAGCCTGATCTAGTGGAAGGTGTCCCTGCCCATGGCAGGGGGTTGGAACAAGATGATCTTTAAGGTCTCTTCCAAACCAAACCATTCTATGATTTGCTCAGCTCTTCTCCAACCATAAGGAAAAGTATCTTTAGGGGTCAGCAAACGAACAAAGAACAAGCACAATCTAGCCACCCATGCTACATCTCCCATCCATACACCCCATCTAAACTGATTATTAAATCATATTTGCTGATAAGTATGAGATGTAATATCTATTACACAGCTGTTAAACCTCAATTAATATGTTTTAATGATCAGTCGTTTACTGTGCACTATACAATTAACATCCAGTATTAGATCTTAAATTAAATGCGTGTTTGGGAGGCTGAATTTGCAGCACTGAACATCACCATGCCACGGTACACAGCGATAATTGCCTCGAACAGACAGGCTTTCTGTGCCCCGAGAGGGGGTTAAACCAACACCCCTGGCATCAGAGAAGAACGGAGGAGAATTGCTACAGAAGCCAGGTTCTATTTTTTCAGTGTATTTTGATCCCTACGGAGGTTTTCATTAATTTCTCTTGAAAAAAGCACCCTGATGCTGAGCTGCTGTGCATGTGAGAAGGTTGAGCTGTGTGGGGTACCGGCTCAGAGGGGTGTTTTCTTGGCAAGGGTTGGGCAGGAACATGGGGCAATTAGCTGTGCTGAGTCCTGGAGGCTGTGCAAGGGGGTTCGGTGCTGCAGTTTGGATCTGAGACTGAAGCCTTAAATCAAAGTTGATTCATGCTGCCTGCCAGGGGAAAAGCCCTCACTGCACCCTGGGTTTGGGGCCATGCAGGGAAGCAAATTCAGCTCTTGGTGTTCTCCAGGCAGTGACCAGTGGCCACAGAGCCGTGTGTGTGGGCAGTGCCCTGCAAAATCAGAGTCATAGAATGGTCTGGGTTAAAGGGACCTTAAAGATCATCTTGTTCCACCCCCTTGTCATAGGCAGGGACACCTTCCACTAGACCAGGTTGCTCCAAACCCTGTCCAACCTGGCCTTGGACAGTTCCAGGGATGGGCCATTCACAGCTTTTCTGGGCAACCTGTGCCAGGGCCTTACCATCTTCGGAGTAAAATGCTTCTTCCTAACAGCAAATCTAAATCTCTCCTCTTTTAGTTTAAAACTGTTTCCCCTTGTCCTATCACTGTTTGCCTGTAAAAAGTTGCTCTCCCTCTTTTCTGTAAGATGCAGGGGTGTTGGACATCCAGCAGTGCAGAGAAGTGCAGAGGTCCAGGGGTGGCTTCTCCAGCCTAGAGAAGCTGTAGAATTTGGTTTTGATTTTTTTTTTAAATTTATTTTAATTCACACTAAAGAAGGGGACCAAAATGCTCCCTCTGAGCCCTGGCACTGCTGCTATATCTGCTCTGAGAAGTGAGCCCACGTTGTCTGGCAGGACACTGAAGGACCCAGCTTGTTCTCAGCACACTGCTGCCTTGTTAACACAGGATTCACCTTTCCCATAAAAAGTGTTCCTGAGCAAAGATGAAGAAAAATCTTTCTCCCTTCCTTTTGCTTTTGTCACACTTGGGGGAGCAAATGAAGATTGATATGTTTTTCTTCTAGTCTTTCAGTTTAAATATGCAGTGGTGCATCTTATGAGAAAAGGAGGCCTTCACCCCCCACCTTTTCTCTGTGGAAGTTTCCTCTCACCCCAGTGCTTTGCTACATCAGGTGCAACCTCTGCTGAGATTTGGAGACAGAGTGGTGCTGCAAATGTGGCTCCCCTGGCGCTGTAAGGACATGTGTGGGAGCTGGCTGCCACCCAGGCAGCCCCCTCCTGCAGCATCCTGCCTCGTTTTCCATTCACTCTCCCTCCAAAGCTTCCTATGAGGTTTGCTGTGTTTATTTTTGGGGGAATTTTCTGCCATTCTTTAGAGGGTTTCATTTTTTTCTGGGAAATCTGTGCTTTCTTCTTTCTCTGTAAATGGAAAGTAAAACACACACGTCTGATTAACACTCAGAATTGCTGTGGTCTCCCTCCCAGGTTTCCACATCACCTTGTTTGGTGTTGATGAGAGTGACCCAAGTGTTTCACAGAACCTGTTCTTCAGTGCCAGGATTGTACACAGCTTGCAATATTTTGATTCACAGCTGACAGGTTTGGGAAAGAACATCATTAGGAAGAGGATGGTTGTGGATTGTCCTAAATGTTCCTGGGGAAAAGCAGCCTGTCCACTGGAGGCCCCAGTGTGTGCTCCAGTCCTGACTGTGTGGAGGGTCCTGAGGAGGGAACTGGTGGGGGAAAGCTGGCGGTTTCCTTTGGGATGTGAACACCAGGCAGTGATCCATCAGGCCAGCTGAGCATCTAGATTATTTTTCAAGGGGGAGTGATGCAAGTGCTCCCAGCTGTGCGCTTCAGCTGTCCCAGTTCAGTGGCAGAAGGGGACCCCAGAATCAACCATTAACTCCAGGATCTGCTTTCAATGGGCTAAAACTCATATTTCAGGCAATATCTCACACTCTCCCTTGGGTGGCACAGGTAGGGGTTAACACACATGTCCTTCACATAACCAGTGAGCTTTGTTTCTGCTGAACCCAGGATCTGCAGGGAGGTGGAAAAGGCAGAGCCAGCAGTGCAAGCTGATCCTCTCCAGAGACTAGACACATTTAAGCAGCACAAAGTACAGGAAATCTGATTCCAGTGTTGATGGAGCTGCTTTGGCCACCCAAAGTGGGCTGGACAGAGGGACTGGAGCAGGCAGGAAGGTTCTGAGCTGGTGTGGCCAACACATCGTCAGCCTAGCCGAGGCTCCTCACCCCAACACTCAGTGCCTTCCCTTCTTGCTTAAAGGGATGAAAATTTGGGAGGTTGGGATGGGGCCTGTGGCGAGGACAAGCTGGCACTTTGAGCCAGATTTATCCATGGCAGCTTCCAGAATTCACCTTTAGCCTATGACTTAGGCACACATGAAAAAACAGGCTCAAAAAGGATGAATCTGCATGTATGTTGCTAATTTTTCCTCCTCGGGGTTGTATCTCATGACCTCTCAACCTTTCAAAAATCTTAAACCCAGGTAGAGCTTTGATCTAGCATTCTGGATCCATTGTTTCTACAGTTTAACCCACTCTCTGCTCCATCCCACAGAGGATGCTCCTGCTTTAAAACATGTTTAGGAGAAGGATGCTCAGTGAAATGCTTCAGATGAGCAGGCAGGCTGTAATGGCCTATGAATGTGCTGTTGAAACATCTTTATTTCTTCTTATTTGATATTTTTTCCCCTCTGTTCTCCTTTCTTCTGTCCCTTTCTAGCTTTTTTTTTTCTCATTTTGCTTGGTTTTAATCATCTGCCTGGCCATCTGTGCTTCCCTGCTCCCTTTCCTCGGAGCTTCTCCAAAGCAGAATAATGTTTCAGCAACTCTTGGATTTTGTCTCCAAGCCCTGTGCCTTTTCTTGGGTCTAGGCTAGAACACAGCGTTTCAAACAGAGTTTGGAGTCTCCCATGAAACCTAGAAAAGTTCCCCTCGCTGCACTCCTGGCTTCAGAGCAGCTGTTTAAGGACAAACACATAAAGATGACTTTCACATTCACCTATCTTAGGCACTATCTTGGATGTACATCATCATAGGATCAAATTATCCCAGTCTTTCCATGTACTTGTTCCTGCAAGAGCACTGTGGGAATTACTGGTTGTTTTGTAGTCTGTTCTAGAGGGAGGACAGACACAGGCAAGGAGGAGTCAATTCCCTGGTGATTTTCTGCATGTTCTCCTAAAAGCTGTTTTGTGGCAGAGCAGTTCCAAAGTTGCTTGCCTGGTGTCCTAAACAAGTTATCTATTGCTGGCAACACAGCTCCCACAGGTTTCCTTTAGCCGGTCTGAACCTTCTCCCTGCTTCTCCTGTCTTTGAGATCACCCCAAAAATAAACTTCAGAGTGAGAAATGACCCACTCTCAGGATGCTGATGCCAGAAAGCGACCATGGAAACCTGTATGGGGACCCCCCCTCTGCAGTCAGTGATGCCAATTCACTGTTCCAGATGTGCAAACTTTTGTGAAATATTAAAAATTAGCTTCACCTCTGGAAAGAGAAGAGAGTGTAAAGGGAGAAGCCCTCTGCCAGCTGCCATGGGCACCACAAGGTGCTCAGCTCACCAGTGATTATTTGCTGTTAATAGTGTGTTTTCCAACCGAGCTGAGCAGTGTTGCAAGGTTTGGGGTAGGCTGAGGATGCAAATTCTTCATGGCTGGGGGTCTTGGCCTTGGCGTGGCATCCTGGGCTCCTGCTCAGGGCTGGAGACCCTGAGGATTTGTATGGCAGGGAATAAATATTGCATTTTCACCTCTGGCTGATGCTGCTGATGGGGTGCCAGGCTGACTCTGGGTCCTGACCCCGTGTTCCTCTTTCCCTCCCCAGAAAATGAGTTTCGGGGTGAGCTGCTGAATCAGAGGTGGACCTGCGGAGAGAAGATCAGCAGCTGCGAGGGAGCCGCCAGCCTGCACGGCACGCACATCAAGGTGAGCACACAAGGTTTTATTTTTAGCACAGTGACACCCCCCCACACACACCACCCCATGTGTTGGCCATGGGACAAGGGCCACGTGCTGCTCCAGCCCCTATGGACCAGCTGGTCCTGGGGGGATGGAGCCTTTCCGGTACCCAAAGTGACAGGCAGGACTTGGAAGTCTCTGTCTCTTCACTTCAGCCAAACCTCCTGCATGGTGAATTCGGGCAGGGAGGGCTTCCAGCTGTCAAGATTTGGCTTTGAGTCCAGATAGTTAAATCCTTGCCTTCCTCTCCGGTGCCATCCTTCAAGGGTGGCTCAGATCTGGGTATTTAGGTCACTCCCAGGACTGTTAAAATAGGCCCTTTCTCCAAGGCGCCGGCTGGTCGGAAGGAGCCCCTCGAGCACCAGGTGAAGCTGTGGTGCCTTTGGAGGGGACAAGCGAGGCATTCATTCCTGTCGGGACCCCGGACAGCTCCCTGGGCTCAACAGAGCCACTCATTTACTGCTGCAGCTGTGGCTGATGAAAGAGGTACAGCCAAAGCTGTCAAATCTCCTGGCAGATTCTCTGCCAGCAGATTAGGAAGCTTTAATTAAGCAGAGAACTGGGCTGCTCACTACACAAGTGGTGCTTCCTGTCCTATTTTGACCTCTCAGTAGTGAGGCATCATCTCTAGTGTGTGGGTGGACCCACCTGGGTGGTGAGGAAGCCTCCTTGGGTGACTGATGTTACCGACCCTTCCTGTATCCCCAAATAAACCAAACCCTGGTAAAACCCCAAGCCAGCAAAAATCTGCCCTTAAAAGCCATCCTTCTTCACTAACAAGCTGTCGGCTGCACACAGGTGTCGCCAGGAAAGCTCACACCTTCTTAGAAAGCAGAGTAAGCAGTTGTTGCTACATTTAAAATGAGCTCAATTAAGGCTTTTCTATTGAACCTGCCAAATAAGCACTTAGATTAGATTTAATAAGATTGTCGTATGTTAATAAAGCAATGATTACAAAAGGTAATATTCCCAGTACCTGGTGCTCATCTAGTGCTCTGCCTCTGACAAGCACATCGTGAATATTAACCATTTCTTGCAATCCCCAGCTCTGCTTATGTGCGTTTTAACTGAGTGACTGATTCAGGGGTGAGAGGAGGAGGTGTGGAGAGGGAGTCTGGAGGGAGCCTGGATATTGTGTGTGTGTGTGCAGCCCTCTTACCTCGCAGGGGGAGAGGTCTTGATCCCTCTCTAGCCTTTGGATCTGCACTGTGTGCACACACTTGCACTTACAAGTGTGCTCATAAATACATATTGTATTTAAATGTAGTTTTTCATGCCAGTCACAGCTCGTAATCCACAGGATGTGCAACGGTGAAGGACAATGGGATGTGGGGCACGTTTACTTATTTATTTTTGCCTCTAAAGAAGTCCAAGCATGGGATACAATTTCCCATGACAGGTTTGAAATGAGATCTCTGCAGTGCTGGCGAGAGCTGATCTCTGCACGGAGCCAGCTGAGCCCGTCCGCGCGGACGCTCCTGGACCACAGTGTCTGATGGCAAAATGAATCTTTGTGTCCCAACTCTTTATTTTCCTGTGCCATGGGGACCTAGCTGGGGTGCAGCTGAAAAGCAGGCAGCTTGTTGGTGAAGGCTGACTGCTGTCAGGACAAGCAGGGATGGTGGTGGGGTCACCAGAGCCCATCCCTGCCACGAGCGCCGGCTATTTTGTCCTCTTTGGAGAGATGCACGTAGCTCACTTCAACAACCCCTTCACATGGTGCCAGTCGAGGATAATCTTATGGAAAAGGCAGCTTATTATCGAGCTGGAAAACAACGAGGTTGAAGAACTACGATTTATTTCACCCCCCTGCTTCCCTACCCCTCCTCTTGTGGCGTGAGAGCCATCGGCGTGTACGGAGCCGCTCAGGCCTCCCTGGCGTCGGGATTGCGTGTTGTAGCCCTCTGAGACAGTCAAGAGGAAAGTGTATGTCAACTCAAACTACAGCGTATGAAATCACCCGGCCCGGACGCGCACGGTGCAGCTGCGGCTGTGTCAGACGTGATGCTCAGGAGCAGCTTTTCTGCTCCGCTTCCCTCGTGCGGAGGATGCTGCTGTGTGGAGGATGCTGCTGCCATCGCCACAGAGTGTCGGCGCTCGGGAGGCGTTTCACTCCCAGCACCGGGTGCTTTCCGGGGGGGTTGGACCCTTCCTGCAAATGCAAGCTGACAGCACGGCTTCAGGAAGGATGTTTGTGACACAGCTGTAGTGTTGGATTTGAGGTGGGTACAAGCTGTGGGTTTGCGTCTAAACATATCAAGGAAAAATCACACACGTCCCCCCGCCCCGCCCCGACTCCAAGCCCGGGAACACCACGCAGGGTGTCCTTTCCTGGAAGCAGTCAGAGCAAAAGGCAGGCAGGAGTTTATTCAGCCGAGGACAGGACTCACAATAGGTGGAACGTCAGGAGGATTTAAATCAAACAGCAAGGAAGACCCTAAGGGAGGATGGGGAAAAAAAAAACCCTCCTAATCTTTGAGTGTGGTTCTAAAATAGCAGCTGGGAGCTACTACTGAGCCTTTTTTTAAAAGTAGAGGCACCCTGTTGATCAAGGGTATTTCTTCCTCCATCATCCCTTACTTATTAAAAAACTCACAGCTAGAGAAGCTCCAGCAGGATGAAATCCTCTTCATTTTCTACAGTGACCAAAGATGCCATGGCACTTTGCAGAGAGCAAGGGGGAGAAATTTGGAGGCCCAGATGAAGGTCTCTCTGCCCATGTTCAGCCTGCAACAGCCAAGGAGGAGGAATTCCTGGTAGGGTGGGGGAAATACTCCCCCCCCCGCCAAAAAAAGAAGAAATCAGAACAGGCCATTCAAACCTGTCCTCGGACCAGTTGGTGGGAGCTGAAGGGCAGTTTTGCTACCTTTTCCCTTGAGGAGTTAATTGAGGGACTCCTTGGATCTGGAAGAGGGGGAGGACCAAGCAGAAAACTACTTTTCAACAATTCCATAGGAAAAATGTAATTTCTTCTGGCATTTTCCTTCTGCTGCTAGGCAAATGTAAGTTTAGGGGTTTTTTAAACTAAAAATAGAGGCTCTGTGTGTCCGTCTGTCCCTCTAAAGCTCAGACGCAGCTTCTTGCAATTGGCATTTTGCTATGTCCACAAATAAGCACTGATGGAAGCTCTGCTGCTTTCGGTGTAAAATAAATAGTCCTGCTGAATCCTCACCTCCCTTTGTCCAGCTGAAGGCTTTTTCAGCATGTTTATTTTCTCTGAGCTCCGTGGTGCTCTTGAATGCATATAAAGTATTACTGCTGACCCGGGGGAATTTCAGCAGGGCCCTTAATGGCACAGATTTGCATAGAGCTGTCGAAGCCCAGGCACACCTGGGCATCAGCACATGGTGGGCTCCCAGTGGGTTTATGTTCTGTTATGTCCCTTAGCCTCCCATTGGAAAGGAAATGTGTATTAAGATAAGAAGGAAGAAGAAAATATCAACCCTGTAGGTACTCCATAAAAGGAAACTTTGGATCCGTGCTGTATTGCTGTCTTGGCAGCAGAACAAGACCTTTACTGTAGAATCAGGCTGTTAAAATTCACATTGTAACAGCGGGTTAAACTCTTTCTCAAGTTTATCTGTCTGAACCTCATTGACTTATATTTGCAGTATTGACATGTCATCATTATAACTTGTATTCTGGTTGCGTCAGGGAGCTCCTTAGTGTGGGGCAAACACATGGTGCCATGGTGCAGGGGGTATTTCTTCCCTTTAGAGAGAAAAGGGGGGGAAAAGGGGCACTCAGGGATGAAATGATGTTCCCAAGGTTACTCTGATTGTCAATGGCAGAGCATTGAGTTGAATCCTGAAGCAAGTACCCTGAGACCCAGCACAGGGTCCTTTCCTGCAGCACTGGGCTAGGAAACTATCTAGATGCTTATTTTGATTCAATCTTAGACATAACCTATTGGTGAGTGAGGGGGAGCAGAGTAAACCTCTGCGTTTTCTAGCTGGACTAACATGCCTGTGGCTGGCATTTGGTAGCAATAATTTATTTGTGGGTTTCCCCTTGGATTGCTTTGTTTTCATTCAGAGTTAAAATAATAAGAGTGAGATCCAGACAGCTTCTCAGACTGGCTGTTATGAGAACAAGAGAGAGACCTAATGAAAATACCCTATTGGTCTCCAGGACTGCAAACATGCACTGTGTAACCCGGAATTCTGCATTAAAACGGTCTGTCTAGAGGGCTTCTGGTTGAGAAGGCAACAATAAAGGACAGTGGTTTCATGTAACCTTCCTGCATCCGAGCTCGATACCACGGAGGCTCCTGAAGTGCAGTCATGGCTGTGCCAGTTATTTAAGCTGCCTGGGAGGAGCAGGGGCTGAGCTCCAAAATGGATCTTATTCCTGGTGTTTTGGCACTTTAGTGGGGAGTGGGGATTTTTGAGGATGCTGTTGCTGTTGATTCAAGCTGAGAAAAGAAACCTGATGGTAGAAAACTGTCTAGAAGTGCAGAGCTCACCCCATCCTGCCTGTGATGCAAGTGGAATAAATACACAGCGGTGAGGCTGTGACAAGTTCTCTAAAAAAGTAAAGGGGTCTTTCCTGTGGGGAAAACCCTCAATAATTTAGGAGTTTGGGTTTGGGGTTTTTTTTGTACAGTAGGTCAGGCAAGGCAGCCTTTTCGGATTTTGGATTCTTTGGTCCTGAGCAAGGTTGGCTCTGTTCCTGTCTTAGGTGGCTCCTGTCCCACTGCCCATGTGGTAACAAAGTGTGTTCCTGTCTTCCCAGGGTGTTTGATCCTGGCTTGAAAAAGGTGTGGTAGGCAATGTCAGGAATTACTTTGAGGTGCTGTGGTGTAGTGAGGAGCCTGGATGTTACCTCAGAAGTGATAGCTAATTTCCTGAAGACAAATGTTACATGAAATTGGATTTCCCTTATTTATAGATCTCCCACATTTATAGACAAGCAGCTTGAGCCCTTCCCCCCTGCCTGTCCTTGAAGGACAGGGTTAAGAAAATTGAAATTTTGCTTTGCTTTTCCATGCTGGCCCTGTGACCTCTTTTTTTGGCCAGGGCTGGCCCCTTGCAGGTGATGCCCATTGCCCTTCCCAGAGCCCGACCTCCTCTGCCACTTCGAATAACTGATCTGCAGGAAACCCACATTGCCAAGGCACCAGCCCAACATGTGCCAATTCCCTGGGGATCAGTCAAAAAAAAAAAAAAAATCAAAAAAAAAAAAGAAAAATCCCTCTCTGAAATTCCTTTTGGTTGGAGGCTCCCAGCAATCCAAGGTATTAGTTGTATTGTTGGCGTGCGGCGGCATTAGGGAGCGAGCTCAGCACACGCCGACGTTGAAAGGCTCATAAATGTAATGAAGTCCCTGTGACACCTGCTCCTCTCCACACTTTAAACGTGAGCCATTGGTCCGCAGGGAACCAGGGCTTTAAAAATACAAATTATAGTAATTGTCTGCTGTGTTATTGGGAAGATTGTAATAAACGTGGAGCACAACGCCGCGGTGCCATGAGCTGAATGCTGACAGGATGCAAAAATTGCTCCAGGTTTTGATTCCCCACCACCACTCTTTTATTTTTTTTTCCTTTCCTCTCCGACCTCCCCATCTAACAAATCACATAAATCATCGCATGCTAACAGTGAATTTCTGGAGGGTGGCAATGGAAAGGAGAGAGGCACTCAGAGAAATTTCATCCCTCCTCTCTGAGGTGGTTTTAGCTGTGGTGCCCCACAGGCTGGGGCCCTTGGTTTCCTCTCTCTGCCTGCCCAACAGCCTCCCTCCCTTCCTCCTTTCTGCCTCCAAATCTCAGGGAAAGCACCAAGTGGTGCATCCTTTGAGGGTGAGGACCCCTGGCCCCTCCATCAAGAAAGGATTTTAAGACGCATGTGGGGATGCAGTGGCACATGTCACACCTGCATCATCCCTGCTGCCAGCAGAGCAGCATGTGCTCTGCATGTATGTCCCTTCCTGCCCCTTGACCAAGGGGAGCAGCTGCTGGTGTTCCTGCTCTCTCAGGGGTGTTGGAGGGTTAGCCTGGAACCTCCTCATTTGGGGATGGCCCAGGAGCTGGTTGGATCCTTCTCTAACTGGGCCTTGTAGAGGATGTTCTAAAGTGAATTTGTTTTTATTATGTCAAATCCCACTTGTAAATGATCCTTTCCCCCACTTTTCTCTTTCCTTCTTGTTGTCTCAGGAGGAAATGTTCCACGTGGTAACACTGCAGTAAAACCCAAACTGTCTTGTCCCCAGCCTACCAGGCTATGATCTCTGTCCCTGCTCACATCCCAATCCTGCTCTTCCCCTTGGCATTTGCTGCCAAACATTCCTGCCTGCAGAGAGAGCATCTGTGTCGAGGGCAAGATGTGAACCAGCTCTTTGACCACTTCAGCACCTCTGCTGACAACTTTAATGAAATCCCATTTATATTATTCCAGCTGTGTCTTTCTGCCATGCCTTGGAGGTCCCCGCTTTCCTGCTCCCACCTCCAGGCACTGCCTGATTTCAAAGCCTCCCTGACACCAGGGCTTGGGTGCTGCACCCCAGAGGTGGCTGCACTTCAGCCTTCTGCTACCTTGTGGTATGTGGTGATGTTTAATTAATATCAAGCACTTTGAAGTCCCCAATGTTACTTATTCATGCTCGTGTTCCCTGCAGACCCTCCTGTTTGATGTCCATGTTGGGGGTGTTATTTAGACACAGCCCTCTTTGCGGCAAATTTAAGAAGAGAGGAGAGGTTGCTCTTTAGGGCACTTGTGGAAAGTTGCCCTTCTCAGGCAGGAGACCATCTTGGACACAAATTCAGAGATTTCTGAATACGTGCTGGCATTCCACTGGAGTGCTCAGAGCACTTCTGTGATGTAAACCCAGAGAAATCAGTTCTGCCCGTAACAAGTGCAATCTCAGGCACAGCTGTTCTCCATCACTGAGCATCACATCTGGGTGTCTGTCCCTCTGTGGTACTTAACAAGCAGAGGGTCCTTCCTGTGTCCTGGGATGTGGAAATTAATTTAAACTTGCTAAATTTGGGCACGGTGTGTTGAACAATGGTATCAAAGCAAGAAACCTCCATTTCAAAAACACGGGAAAGCTTTCCCTGCTGCTGAGGTATTTACACGAAGCAATAACCACATGCAAGATTGTCCTTTAATGATAATTTTCTTGTTATCTTTCAGCAATGATTTTTTTCTTTCTGTTGCAGATGAGTTTAGAAAATGACGATAAGAGAGCACGCACGCGATCCAAGTCTGTCAGAGGTGAGCAGCTGTTTATCCCACAGCACCAGGCTGTACAGTCCTGAGCTCCCTGCACTTTGCTTGTTCCAAATAGGCTTTGATTTTTCAGGTCCAGGCTTAACTCTTTAAGTTACTCTCACTGCCCCCCGCTCCCCAACCCCACTGAAATTTTTCTAAAAATCCTGCAAAACTCCCAACCACAAACCTATACAGGTCCTTATGATATTTAACCCTCATCCTCTACACCCAGAAGAAGGAAAATAAAAAGCAAATTAAAAAAAAAAAAAAAAAGCCCCCGTGCATGCTTTGCTGTAGGGGATGGCAATCACTGGAGCTTCAGATCAGCTCCCGGGGCTTTCATCATGCTCACTCTGCCAGCGGCTTTGAAGTCGCACATCTGAGAGAGCCTGGCAGAAGTAGCTCATGTTGGAGAAGCAAACGGGCTGTCCCCCGGCAGGGATGGGGGGACAAACGACTGGTTAATGCAAAGCTTGATTGCTGTTTATTTTCTGATTTAAAAAAAAAAAAAAAAGGAAAATAAGTGCAGGTCTCTGGGTGCTTTCTCTTCGGGAGAAGGTGAGGGGCTCTGATGCAGAGCCCGGGGTGTCACCTCAGGTGGTCCCATATCCATGTGTGATGGTTACAGACCAACCTGTCTATTTTGGTTCCTTTTTATGGTTGTGGATTTGACAAATGACAAACCTGGCTGAAAGTGAGGAATGAACAAGGCTGGAAAGGTGTGATGGCTGCAGGGACTGCAGCTTCATTCTACGGCGGGGCTGAACCACCTTCCTTTGTCCTCACCTTGCTTTTCACTGCATCTGCATATTTTGAAAAAAAACCCAAACCCAGATGCTGCCAGTTGTGTTGAACCAAGCTTGGATATTTAGATTTCATTGCTTTGTTGCACATACACAAAGGTGCTCACTCAGGTTGCAAATGAGAGCCCCCTAATTCTATTTATTTTCTCACACCCTGCCTTCCCCCCACTTGAATCTGGGTTTCTCCATGTGAAAAGGTAATTTATTATGTACACCCTGGGACTTGCCATTGCCTCCAGTTTGTTGAAGCTTGTGAGTCATCCCACCGGGAGCTGGATCCCAGGAAACCCAATTAGCTCAAACAAATTGAGCAAACGTGTTATAGTTTTTAGCCTGGGTGAATTTAAACTTATGTTGAGGGATTTTTTTTCCTCCTGATTATTTGGATTCCTGGTTGGATGTAAGATTTCAGCTATGATGATGTGAAGTTATTGCATATAGTTACTGTGAGCAGTGAGAAGTCCTCTTATTCACAAATGGGGAATAATCCCTGAAACCCCTACAAACTGTTGTTTACCCTAAACCTCAATTAATAAATCTCCTACTATATGTCTGAGCACTGGTAGGGGCTCAGTCCAGTGTGACAAGGGGAAGAGAAAAATGGTGTTTTAGAGGTGAATATGCCCATTGCAGCAAAACAGTTGTGAACTGTGGAAAAAGAAATTGATGAGCAGATTTTAAGGGCAAATGTAGAGAAGGCGGCATGAGAAAACTTGGTCTTTGCTTAAACTTGAGTTACGTGCATGTCAGTATAGCTCCAAAGTCATGACTTCAAAGTTATCTGTATTCAGAGAAGAGAGGTGGTCCCTGAAGCTGCAAACGTGCACTCACGTGCTTGAGAATAAGCACAGATATGAGGATTTACAGGGCAGGATTATGATTTACTACAGGCTGGCATGCAGTAAAACGACAGCAGGATAGATTTTCTGTCCTAAATGGGATGCCTCAGGAGGCAATAGAAACGCAGCTGCAGGCAGGAGAGTTTCCCCCGGAGAAGGGGGATGTCTCGGGGGTGGGGCCGGGCACCCCTATTGTGTGTTTGACCTGTGTTTGTTCCCATTGCTGCATCTGCCCCTTCGCCCAGTGCCCACGGAGCTCATCGGCCAGGAGGTGAGGTAAGGACCCTGCTCCTCCTTGGCGGTGGAGGGGGGGACGACGACATGGTGGGACTGGCTTGGGATAAACCCCTTAGCTTGGGAATTTGTGTGTGGGGAGCAAACCTATGGGACTAGTGGGGTGGAGGTCTTGCTGGGGGGCTTATATCGGCAGGCACCTTTGTTGTGTCCAAGTCTTATGGGTGCCACTTGTTAAAACATGTCAGGAACCACAAGACTTAAAGGGATGAAAACAGGAGCTCTGGAAAGGGTCACATTAGACTGGAGCCACCCTCTGTCCAATCCCACATCTAAACCCCAGCAAAATCTAATGCCCATGTTTTTTATTCCAGGATCATTAGGGACAACATCCTACTAACCAACTAACCACAGTTTCTTTTCCACATATTTTACAACCTCTTATTCCCCCCAAACAATATAGTGTCACATCACTTCTCGTGCCAGATGCTCCTCCTTTGGCCCCACGTCCTCTGTTCAGTCACTGAGGTCCTGTTGTCACTAATTTAGCAGTGCTGGCTTGCCAACAGCAGCAGCCAAAAGAGCAGGAGTGGAGCCTCTGCAGCCCCACAGAGCTTCTTAATAGATATAACAGCCTCCCCCACCTCTAAGCTCCCATTAAACCTTTCACAAGGGCTTTTGCAAGAGGTAGGAGTCTTTAACCTGGACAGGCACTAATAGCAGGGGCTGCCTCTCCTAGCAGCCTTCCTTAGAAAGCCGTGTGTGTCAAAGAGTAATTGGACCTTAACCAACCCAATTTCAGAGCATTTCTGCTCCTCCACTCTCCTATTACTCTGGAGAGCCGGGAGGAGCGAGAGGTGGGCATGCCCCTTCTCCAACTTTTATTGCTGAACACTTGAGTGGAGGTGGTAATTGGAGCAGGTGACATATCTAAGGGGCAGGACAGAGTGCTCCACAAAGCCATCTCTGCAGCTGTCACCTAATTGCCTGAATAACTGGACGATTAATCGACTAATTGGAAGCAGGGCATCGTCTGCATAACAATAAGAAACCCTTTTGTCAAGCAGATGAAGGCTGGAGAGGGGGGGAGAGCTGGTCGGTGTGGTGGCTTTCGAGAGATGGAGAGCAGCTCTAATAGACCTCGAAGCTCCTTTCCCCTTTTGGGACTCCTGCCAAAATACACGAAACCTCCCCAAAGGAGAGAGGGGAGGGAAAACCTGGCCCAGAGCATGTCGAGCATCACCTCTGTGCTGGTGCTATTTAAAGGCATTAAATTAACACACTGAAGCCAGAAACATCCCAAATCGGCACCTGCCTTGGCAAACCTCGATGCTCAACCACTTGGCTCTTTCCTACGTACTTTTTATTGCAGGCTTCATTTCACCACATCAAAAATGAGGTGGGGGATAATTAGCTTTAATTGATACAGGAAAACTTACAAAAGCCTGTAACATCTTCATCAGAGCTGCTCTTGTTTCCCACCGAATAAGCCTTTTTCAGGCAAGTCACTGGTGACATAAACACTGCTCTGTCTCTTGGTGTGCAGTCACTGGAAGTGTGTCTGGGGCTGCTCGGGACACAGCAGCCTCAGTCAGGACTGAGGGCAATTAAAATTAAATAGACTTTTAGATCATGAGCAGCAAAGGGGGGAGCTCCCTCTTCCAGTTGCGCATGTTAGTGGGATGAGATCTTTTTCTGTCTGACCTCGAATGTTCTGCTGGAGAAAGGGACACCTCACTGCCAGGCCAGACCCTGGGTGTGGTGGGGCTTGGGCTGTGTGTGAATGCCAAAAGAGCTTGGACCCATCCCCCAAGCGAAGGCATTGGAGGATGCTTCAAACCAGGCCACAAGCAAAGGGGACAGCAGGGAGGGGGATTTGTCTTGGAGGAGCCAGGAGGTGCAGCTTCCACCCACCCAGAGAGCTGTGTCCCCTTAGTGCATGTGCTGCCACCATTTGCCCTCTCAGCATCAGCTTTGCTAACCTAAATCAAGCTGGTCTCCCTGGAGGAAGGATTCCTACTCTCCTGACAGTTCAGCAGCCCTTTTCTGTCCTGCTTTTGGGTTGAATTATATTCTTTGAACACAGCAATCTGACTTGTATTGTGGGGAGTTGAACCATTAATAACCCACCAGTGCCCCCAGAGCTGCTACACCCATTAGTGCAGTCAGACCTTCTGTCCTCAGCTTTTTGCAAGGGCTGAGCTCTCTGCTGAGAGCAGAAACTCTGAGTCCCTAAAGCCTGACTTGGCACTTGATACTATTTAATGTTGTCCCGTGTTTTTTACTCTAAGAATAACAGGCTGGCCAGATCCCCTCTGGGCTGGTGATGCCTTCTCCCTTTGCACTGTCATCGAGAGATTTCATTAGTGCTTCCAACTTCCTGGGCTGAGGGTGATACAGTGCTAAATGAGGTTATTAATCCTACACGACTCCAGAATTCCTCGAACATCAGGCAAGTCACTTGGGCATCCTATAATCAATGCCATAATCTGGTTTTGCCAGAAAATGTTTACTTTAATGCTTCTTATCTGGAGCCCTTACAGCTCCTGAAGCTGGGACTAATTACCCCTGCAGGGAAGGCGCGTGGTCCTGTGCAGAGGGATGCTCAAGCGAAGGCAGTGGTGGCTGAGAGTGTGGCTCAGAGCTCCCTGCAAGTCTTTAACTCACCCTCTTCTGCAGAGCAGCAGGGAAAAAAAATGCAGGGATTTGGGAGATCTGTTCACCTAAATCCCATTCATCCCTCCAAAAGTGGGGCTCTGAGGTGCTTTTGAGGATTTTAGTCCCGGTGATCTTCACCCAAAGTGCTCTGCCAAAAACCTCCTTGACCTACTTTTCTAAAAGCCACCCCTTTCTTTGCTGTAAGGAACTCCAGTTTCTTGATAAGCCACCAAATAAGGAAAAAACCCATGTTTTCCTCCTGAGAAAAAGAAAACTGGAGTGGCAGCGGGGAGGCAGAGCGCAGTAGCTGTCTGCCTTTAAAAGCTTGCTCTTACACACGCAAATCTTTAATTAAACATACTCATAAAACTATAGTGAACCCGTTCATCTAATTAAATGGGGTGAGTAATTTCATTAATTTTTAGCAAACTGCAAGGCTGCTCTCCTGCCCTCCTCCCTTGGAATTCAAAGGGACAAACTGAACCATTTGAGGGAAATTATCTTCCTGTTTGCAGTTATTTTGTTCCTTGGGCACAGGACCTGTTTAACTGACCGTAGTTTATACACTTCTAATTAAACAGTAATTCCCCAAGTCCTATTGCTGTTCTTGATGTTTTGCTTGTTTCCCCCTCAAGCTGTCCAACCCCAGGCTGTAACGGCTCAGGACACATCCGTGGGAAGTACGCGAGACACAGAAGGTGAGGCTGCATTGGAGTTAGTGGAGTGGAAAACTGTGAGCAAGAAACCCAGACACAGAGGTTCACTGGAGAAAATCTGATTTAGACCAGCAACCCAACTCCTCTGTCCCAAATCTGCCCACTAGAGAGCTGGTTTCTGTCTCTCCATCAGTCCCCGAGGGATCCTGGGGAGGTCTGCCTCTCCAGGCTGACAGGAGCCTTCCTACAGACCCCAAAACATGGCAGAAGTGCCCGACTCAGGTGCCAGGGGTTGGTGGGAGCTGCTGACAGGCAGAGATTTTGGTCTGCTCGGTGTCTCTATGAATGGGGAAGGGAAAAAAGAACACAGTTTGCCTTTGAGACCATGCCAGCCTTAACTGATGGTTATCATCACCCTATAATGGTGAAATTGGAGCAGTTGGTGGATGAGCCCCAGGGTCTAGTTCTGCATCCCCTGCCTGGTTTCATGGTCCTGATGCCTATCACTAACAGTGGTGCTGGGAGCTGCTGATCCTGCTGCTCCCTGGACAACAACTGCAAGGAAGCTGCATCCCAGCATCCGTGCTCTCATTTCTGAAAAAAAGTTGATGTAGTTGCACAAAGTCATGGTTTGAGAAGAGATCTGGCCACGCAGGGTTAAATCAGCTAAAAAATCTGGGCTGCTGGATGGTCTTTTTGGTAGTATTCGTGTATTTGTCCCACTTGCCTTTGCCTAACCAGTTGGGATGAGGCAGCCAGGCCTTTCTCACTTGGCATTCATTGCCTTCTCTCTGCTCCTTGACCCCATCTGCAGTTTACAAAGCTGCCCTCTCGCGAAGAAGAGGAAACTTCAGGATGCGGAGGCCGAACATCTGGTGTCGAAGAGAAAATCCCACCCGCTCAAACTGGCCTTGGATGAAGGCTACAACGTCGACAGCGATGGCAGTGACGAGGCCGAGGCAAAGGAGGAGTCTGGCTCCGATGAGTCGGAGGGGATGCTGGAGGAGGATGAGGCGGAGGCGATGGAGCAGGAGGAGACCCGCAGCCCTGAGCAGGCAGAAGGTGCTTTATCATTATTGATTGCAGAGCTGTGTTCTGCAGATGAAGAAAGGGCAGGGAGTGTTAACAACCAGGAGTTATAGCTCCTCTGAATTATGTACAGGATGGGTCCTTCAATTATTGCACTGGGTGGAAGCAACACAGCAAAGCTCTGCTTAAGCTGAGAGGGGACACACATTGATTGTCTGCAGCATCATAAAAATGAGAGCTTTTCCACCAGGGATGCTCCCTGGGGAAAGACACATGGAAAGCAGAGAGGAACTTGCTGTGTGGCTCAGGTGGTAGCAGGGAAGGCAGCCGGGGTCTCACACTGGTGCTGAGAGGGGCTCAGCAGGAGTCATGACCCTGGCCAGATCCAGCTGCTATCCAAGAGGAGGAGTGACCAGCAGAGGAGATGAGTCTTCAGCCAGGGTCCTGACAGTGTCTTGCTCACTGCTTTGGAGCCCTGGTCTGGGGAGCACTGGGAGCAGGGGGGTGAGATGGCTGCTGATGGGACAGGGTATGTGTGAGAGGGTAGGAAGAGCTGGGAACATGGCAAATCTGAACCCCCATGATTTCCCTTCTATGTGGAAATTCCCTTTCTACCTGCCATCCTCAAATGCAATAAATTAGGCCACGCCAGGGGTAGAACAGCCAGGCTCTGGTTTCAGATAAGTTTAAATACAAAAAAGAAATGTTTATGAGTTTACATAATTACTTTCTTTTCCTCCTTTCTTTTTCCCCTTTCTTTTTTTCCTCCCTTTCTTTTTCCCCCTTCTTTTTTTCTCCCTTTCTTTTTCCCCTTTCTTTTTTTCTCCCTTTTTTTTTGCCCCCCCTTTCCTCTTTCCCCCTTTCCTCATTCCCTCTTTCCTCCCTTCTCCCCTTTCCTCTTTTCTCCTCTTTTTCCTTCCCTTCCTTCTTTTCCCCCTTTCTTCTTTTCCTCCTTTTTTTTTTTTTGTCCTTTTTTGTCTTTTCTTTCTTTCTCCCTTTTTCTTTCTATTCCTTCTTTCCCCCCTCCTCAGAGAGAAGCCCAGCAAAATCAACCCATTATGGACAAAACACAGCATCAAGTACGTCTGGGCCCAGCAAGGCCAACTACAGCAGCTACCAAGAAATAATCGCCAACTCC